CCCCAAAACCCCAAAACCCCAAAACCCCGAGGAATAATGACTATACTGAAAATACTCATAAAATATTCAAAATAATGTTATAAATATATTGATATTCAAACAGAAAGGTGCTTAAAGTGCTACAATAACTACTTGAAGTTAGAAGTTGCGCTTGAGCTCAACTATACCAATCCCAGTAAGCTACTTGCAGCAAGCTTAGCTAAGTCCCTAGCAATGAAGTTTCAAAGTTATAGCTTGAATGGCTCTAATGGCAAGGACTTTACTCTTCAAGGTCCTTGACTGTAAGCTCTTCCAGGTTATAAATCCTTCAAGCTAGCTTAAGAGCCTATAGAGTCACATTGCGCAATCCTCGCTTGTTGAGTGTACAACAGAGTTCTGCAATTGGGCTGAATAATGCTTGATTTTATCAGTGTGAAGCATCACATTGTAATAACCAGAGAATCAGCAACCATACAGACCCATTTCATTAAGTTACTGTGCTTCGGAGTTTCATAAAATTCAATCTCTCCCAGACCTGAGTTTGCAATGAGAGAATATTGTTCATGTGGTAATCTGAATATATTCCACACAAGATTTAGAAGCTTATAAAATTAAAACTTGTGCCATAAATGTTCGGGAACCTTCAAGCCTCACATAAGTCTCAGTATGTCTCTGAGAGGAAGTCACCAAGGCTGCATTGGAAATGCCTATAAAGGACTTCAACAAGCACCCCAGTGATTGAAGGATCTCTTGCTTGAGAAGAGAAAGAAGCACAAACATCAAGAAAAGATGAGGAATTCAGGTCCTCTCAAAAAAGAGAGTGGAGTTGTTCGTTAATGAAGGGACAAGAGCCTTTACACGCATTGCCTCCTTCCAGAAGAAGTTGGTGTTAAAGATGGTAGACCAAGACAGCTCCCAGATACTCCAAACTATAGGGTTAGAGAAGCTCTAGGAGTTTTAAGCTCTTTTAAAGTAGGAGAAAGAATCAAGAGGGCTAAAAACGCGGTGCAATATTAAGATTTTGCAGACCAACAGACTTTGTAAAAGATTCATGTATAATAGTCTTTCAATTATATCTTCATAATTGGGGTTTTGGGGTTTTGGGGTTTTGGGGTTTTGGGG